AGCGCAGAGGGATGGGAGGAGGCAAGCCCTTGTGGCCCTCACTACCAAAGGCAGAAATGCTGAGTTTTCTCTTTCTCACAAAGCAGTTGTTGCTGGGTTAGCCGTGCCCAGCCAGTTCAGGTCTGTTTGAGTAAGTGGCTCCAGTTCTGGACCGCCAGGCTGGTGGCTGGAGTTGTCACGCCGTTTCCCGAGGCAGGACAGCCGCGTGCCTGCGCTCGCTGCCAGGCTGCGCTCCAGCCACCCGAGTGCCTGGCTCCTGGTATGTCCCATACCCTCCTCCCATGCTCACAGGTAGGTGCTGGTACCTGTTGAGACACAAAACCTTTCGCTCTGTGAGCCGAGTCCGTGTTCTTGTGGGAAAAGCCTCCCCTCCCCGATTGCGTTGGCCCTGTGCTCTCCTGTGCCAAATGGAGATGGATGAGAAGTGACCAAGCGTATCCCCGCTAACAGCAGCGTTGCCTTTACCCTCCCGACTAACAGACTGTTCCCGGTAGAGCCCGGCCGCCTGCCACGGATGCACCAGGTATGTCCTAAGGCCACCTCCCCAAGGAAGGCAGCATCTGCCGGCCCCGCACCAGCAAAGCAACTAAAGGAGGGGAGGTCTTCCAGTCCCCCTCCAAAGGGCTCACACTTCAGACCCTGCTCCTCTTGACAACCAGCTAAACAGAAGGGAAACAGCACTGCAGAAAATAACCAGGCGTCTGTCTTGGCCCTGGACAGTAAGGAGGCCGAGTTTTAGATCTGACTGCACAACAGATCCGTGTGTGTCTGATTTGTTACATGTGTCCAAGTCTCTGTCCATGATACTGTCATTCCAGATGGAGACTCTGTACAGCCAAATCCCCCCTGTGCGACAGTGGCTGGAGGCCCGGTCCACACAGCCCTGGCACAACAGGCTGGGGCTGTCCCCGTGACTGGCTTTTGCTTGTCCCTACAGGAAGGAAAAGAGGGGGGTGGACTCTTGCAGCTACAGGTAGAATAGAACTGTTAATTAATATTTGACTTTCAAAAGTTGTTAAGGATATATTTTTGTTTGTGTTCTGTTTAAATTTCTGTAGATTATAAACTTTAAATGGCTGTAAACCATGTGAGGAGAAAAAAAATGTTAATAAAAATGCAAAGCTCCAACATTTGCACAAAAGGAGCCCTGTGGTGTTGCTGTTTGCACTAACTGATCACCTTGGCATCACAGCTTCTTCTGTTTCTGTCGTGGAAATCCTGCTAGTTGCACTTCAAGCCAGTGGTATAAGCACCGGCATTGTGCCAGGCAGTCTTTTAAGAAACATCTTATGGTTTGGGCTACATCCTTGCATTTCAGTACATTCTGGAGGGAAAAACCTGGACTGTCTGGAGCCAGCCTGTTTAATCAGCCCAGAATTACTCAAGCTTAAAATTCAGCTGACTTGCACAGCTTCTGGCCTGGGGATACTGAACAAGCACAGCAAGGGACATCAGGCAATCTGGAAACCTCATCTGATAGATCACATGGTGCTGCCTCCCCACTTCCTTCCATGTGGGAATGGGAGACAACATGCCCCCAAACTGACCACCAGATCAGCCAAACCACCCTGCTAGTATTGCTCTTTCAGGTGAGCAAGTGCTGTCACTGTTCAGGGATATCAAACCATGGATGCAAAGGAAGGGAAGTGGGTGGGAGAACCCCCATTAGGTGTGTGCACTGAATCTGAAATCCTGCTGCCTCAAAAATATGAAGTTGGGTGTTCGTCCTTGCAGAGTGGCTCAATGAAGGTTAAAAATCAGTCTAAACTATTCTGAGTATAAAAATTACCCCCGCTCCTTGAGCTAATGAACAGATGTTTTGACTTCAGTACCACTGTTCTGCAGAAACAACACTTTGCTTCCCTCAGTGTAACACTGGGGCTCTCAGAGGTGGTACAGGAATGTGATGGGAAACAGAATGTGTGCTAAGTGAATGCCCAGTTATCTGTCTAACAATGGTTTATTCTCACAACTCTGCTTTCTAGTCTCACTATCAAACTGCTGGAACTAATGGGGTGAGCCTGTGGCAGTTAAAGCAGTAACAAGATTATTTGTAGTCCCACAGCGAGGTTAAATCAGGCTAACCAAGTGGCTACAGAGAATTATACTTCTGCAACAACCTCTCTTTTTTTTTTTTTTTTTTCCCCCTTAAACTGTTTTGTTCATCTGCCAGTAACCATGCGGTTCTAAGGCTAAGGATTCCTTTTTGCCTTTCCCTTTAAGACATGGTAAAGAAATCTGGCTCTCATCTCTGTACTTCAAATAAGACAAGTTGTACAGATGGTGGTTTGCCTTCAGCTGGTATTTTAAGAAAAGCCTGGAACAAACTTATTTCTCCACAGGATCTTACCTCTCCCCAACAGAGTAGCAAGCTGCAAACTGGTAACTGTTAAACACTTGCAGCATGTTCAAATACACGGTAACCTAAATCACTGCGTTTCTTTTTGAAGATTGTCCTCCTGCCTCACTTGATGCTAACAACAGACTTAATCAAAATCAGACCCAAAGGATTGAAAAAGCTCAGAGTCCAGGCTTGTTTCCTGGAAACTGACAGTCAGCTGATCCATCCTGGAGATACTGCTCACTGTGCCTGGCTCCATCCTCGCATACTCCCGCAAGCCTGCCCGACGCAGCATGCCAGGGCCCTGAGCCAGATTATTGTTAGTCATTCAGGAAAAGCAGCCAACACCATCCAGCTTGCACTGATCGGGACTCCAAAGGCAGTGGAAAGGTAAGCCTGATGTTTTTTCTGCCGTGATGCAGGCTCTTAGCAGCAGCACTGGAACAAAGGGAAACTTGCTCCCAAGGGATCCCACTGTTACCGTAGATAGTAATCAATTGCGGCGGAGAAAGCGGCAAATCCACCGCAGCCGATAACCCCTGCCTTCAAACCAGCTGCAATGCAAAAAGAGTGGGAAAGAATGAGTCAAAATAGGAAAGATTTTTCTTCCCAGTAACTAGCTTATGCTGTGCTGGCTTGAAGAGCTTACACCTGCAGGAACCTGGCAGTCTGCTACCAGGGAACACTGGCACTACCGCTGCCTAAGGAGAGGGTGGGAACCTGGCACACATAGGACTTAAAACGACCACGGCTGGACTAGCACACGGGCTGGGTGCTGTGTGGCTATGTCTCCCCCCAAGGGCTGGAAGAGAAAACGCCAGTGGCCATTGCTGATTTCAGTGCGCTCTGATCTGAGCACTGCAAGTGGCGTTGCTGTTGGACTAGGAAGAGGAGCTGCAGCTTTGAAAGCTCTAAGAGGATTAGGTCCAGTAGAGACACAACTTAACAAGCTCAATTAGAAGCACTTTCAAGAGCACTTTATTTCTTTTATGCTCTGTGGAGAGGTTTTTTTTCTTAAGGAGAAGTGAGCGAAGTTCGGTATTTCTGATGAGCAAAGCAGCTCTCTTCCTACTTGGGGCTTTTCTTCAGATGTTGTTAGCACTCAGGGCTTCCCAAAGTCCCCACTAGTGTCTGCTGGACTCAAATCCCAGTCAGTGTTCCTGCACTTTTAGAGCTAAAGAGATTTGTCTGTTTGATTTGATAAAGGAGAAAGGAGGGAAGCATTTTACACACTGTGCAAATTGTTACTGCCAGTGAGATAGTATATTTAAGTAGAGCTCTGTTAACACAAGAGCTGTACCTTCAGAGGGTGGCTTGGTATGTATTTTTGGCTCCCTCCCCACGACACCACAGAAGAGTGTGGATAGCTAACACCTTTTCTTGATTTTTCTTTCAAGCCAATTCTGTTGATTTTCCTCTAATCTCACTGTCCTGTAAGACCAAGTCTTCCCTATACACACACATCTTGCACACTGACAGGAAAGTGACAGAGAGAGCAATTCTGCCAGTCTGGAGTACACTCTCGTGTTGACATCATTATGGAAAGAGATTAATAGAAAAAAACACCACATGCTACCTAACCAAATTAGAGCCTTATCACAGAAGTAGTTTGCAGCAGGTACTACCCACCTCTGAAGCCGATTGCTCCTCCTGTGATGCAGCCGCTAATAACGCTATTCTTCCAGTCTGACTTTCCACGATACTGTGGAATTAAAAATCAGAGTCAACAAGTAAATATGGAATAGATTCCCACTAGCTGTACTAATACCAGGAGAGAGTAAATGACCTTCCAGCCCCTTCTCAGCTGAGGATGTTTTTCCCCTCTATTCTCAGCAGATGGCCCCCTGCACTTTCAAACATCAGCCGTGCAGGGCCAGGAGAAGAGGAAGGGACGGGTCACCAGGAGAGTTAAGACAAATCCATATGGTGCAATGCAGTGCTATGGCAAAGATTCTCAGGTGAGCTGATACAGCCCCCAGAAAGCAGCACTGTGCACTGGCGCCATGTGAGTGCAACACGGAGCCTGCCTGGTCTCAGCACAGGTGAGAGCCACAGCACCCTGCTGGCACAGATGTACTGTTTCCATAACCAGAGCATGCTAGTTTTTCACTAGTGCAGAGATCTCTTTCTTCGGCTCCACTGTGCAAGCAGATATGCTTTTCTAGATGAGTTAAGAAATAATTGTGTCTTTCAATTAAAAGGCAGTACCGAAATTCGTAACAGGCTAATTTTCCTGTTTCAGAAAATGGATGATAGATTTACCACTGAGCTGCACAGGGTCATTTCTTGCTGTAGGGGCAAGAAGAAAATAGGCCTGTTACTTAAGAATTTTCATCAAAGGATCTGTTTCTCCATATGGAATTTTTAGAGGCTCAAATTACCATGTTGCAACTCGCAGTTTGATGTTTTAAAGTAACAACAAGTAATTGTAGCTAGGGTTTCAAAAAGTAGTGCCTGTACTTGCCAATGCATTCAGGACTTGAACTGAAAAGGACTTTGCTATTGCATGCTCTCCTGCTTGTTCAGAACAGCAGTTCTGAAGACAGGTCTCAAAACTGGAAAGCTTTGATGGCCAAAAACCAGAACAAACTAGCCTACACCCTCGCCCCGTCACAAAGGGAATATACAAACTTATTTGGATCTAGTAAAAGAGATTATTAAGTGTACAAGAAAACATTTCATAATGCTTAAAAAGTTATTACTCACAGATTCCACCACGCATTCGGTGCAGGAGAACATGGCGCCCACAATGGCGAAGTTCTTTGCGTAGGATATGCCTCGCTGCCCCATGTCTTTGAGGACCTCTTTTGCGGTTGGCGTGCGATAGGGATCCTTGGGATCAAACCCAACGTTGGTGTCGATGCCGGCTGTGAAGACACCAAACGCACCTCCCAGAACAAATCCTGTAAAAGACAAAAAAAAAGTAAAGCAAAACTTTGTATTCGAGTAGCACATTCCCTACAGGCACCAGAGCACCTCCGCTCCCGGTATCTGTCAGTGCTGCAGCGCGGAGGGGGCAGTGCAAGAGCACAAATGGCGAGTCTCTTCGTGCTACAGACACTGCTGCTGACACCCTCCCTGCTGACAGCCCGTGCTGTGCTGGGGAAGGCTGTGAGCACCTCGTCCTTCGCAAGGAGGGCACAGAGACAGAGATCCCTCCCTGGGACCTGTGACAGGTACTCGAGGAGGCTCAGAGGGAGGGAAAATTAAACACGGGGGTCCCTGTGCTGCAGCCTCTTCTCCATCCCTCCCTTTCGGACGCACGGAGACCG